TCAAATCCAGTAAGAGAAGCAGGCGCTGTGTCTCACTGACCTCAGCTTCTCCCCACATAGCGCCTGGCACTGGGGGCTGCCTTCAGCTTCTCCTCAGCAGCAGCCTTCTCATGTCCTTCCCACCAGGAGCACAGGCAAGAGAGCTAGCTGGAAGTGCCCACGGAGACCTTGGTAAAAGCACTGTAGCCACATTGGCTGCCAATAATTAAATCGAAAGTAACTGTTGCTTTCTGCTTGAAGATGTCCAAAGTCGAAGTGTAAAATCCTGCAGACAGCAAAATTCCAGTAAGAGCAGGAGATAGCTAGAAGGGATTAAGGTCTAAGGGATCATCTGGCCACTGTGAGTCCAGCACCAAGGAGACCTACCTCCCACAGGATAACAGAGAAAGCTTTGAAAAAGACGCATGGAAGACTTCACTGCTCTATACAGAGAATCCTAAGCCCTCTGTCTCTCTTCAACAGCCATGCCCATGAGCATGCTTGAGGGGACCCACCCCATGCCAGGAAGAAGTAACATCAGACAACGGGCCGAACCACTGGCATAGCTTTGCGTGCTGCACTTGCATACATCAGAAAGGGCATGGGTCCAAGTGGATATTCTTGTGGAAGGTACTTGGGAAAAATCTCCCCAGTAATACCTAAGACCCCCAACACTTCTCTCCGTTCTCTTGACAAGTAGATGAAATAAAGAGACTGAGACCATTGTTCTACTATTCTATTGTTCTAAAGCTAGATACCTCAGGATCTGTGTCCTTCACTAGGCTGCAAACTGGTATTAAGAAGTAAGCCTAAGATTCGCAAATCTTTTGACCCTATCCTTTTGTTTAGCAATCATGCCGCTTTGTTTTCTGTTTCTGTTTAAACAGCAAAAACAAGCAGAAACTTGCCAGAGTTCCAAAACAGATCATAGTTAGGATTGGATGTCATCATGGACATATAATTTCTGCCACGAGGAAAGTAAGAAATAGGGCCAGAGCAGTCATCCGACTGGCCCTGCAGAAGCTCGGCCACAGGTAACAGGAAGCGTTCACTGCTTGGCCAAGTGACCTGAGCCGGGTCTGGGGCCCTGGGTCACCTGGACAAACATGTAACGCCAGGCGGAGGGCCAGAGCAGTGAAGGTGATATCTTGATAATCCTTGGCATTGCATTTGATTGGAAATAAGAGGAACAAAGAAGGAATGAAAAGAAAGGGAAACCCTTTGGATAGGTCCTTGTATTTGGTGTCCTCTAAATTTCATCTCAATGCAATTTTTAAAAATCAAAAATCAAAGTACAGACTTTCCCAAAGCAGAGAGATATCCTAATTTGAGCTAGACTCAGACCTGCTGTGTTTTAAAACACATAACTGGCCGGGCGTGGTGGCTCAAGCCTGTAATCCCAGCACTTTGGGAGGCCGAGGCGGGTGGATCACGAGGTCAAGAGATCGAAACCATCCTGGTCAACATGGTAAAACCCCGTCTCTACTAAAAATACAAAAAATTAGCTGGGCACCGTGGCGCGTGCCTGTAATCCCAGCTACTCAGGAGGCTGAGGCAGGAGAATTGCCTGAACCCAGGAGGCGGAGGTTGCGGTGAGCCGAGATCATGCCATTGCACTCCAGCCTGGGTAACAAGCTCAGGCTTTACTACTGGCCATGCTGGCATTTAGTTCAATGAAACCAGCTGAAGCTTCACTCTGGCCACTTTGATCCTGACCCTTGGAACATCTGATTTACTATGTTCTTCGCCACCCTGGTTTTATGCTGCTTGGAAGCTGGAAGCTCGGATTTCCACTTCTGGGTCCATAATTTAAATGTGTCCAAAAAAAAAAGAAAAAACGACTCTAGTTTTTACTAAGCTAGGCATCAGTAAGAGTAGGTGTTTTCCCCTAGGAGTAAAATGCACATTATTCTATTTAGGCCTGTATCCTGAGTGACTGTTGAGACCAGACAGAGACCATGTACTAAAGATTACATTTGGCCAGGTGCAGTGGCTCATGCCTGCAATCCCAGCACTTTGAGAGGCCGAGGGGGGCGGATCACTGGAGGTCAGGAGTTGGACATCGGCCTGACCAACATGGAGAAACCCTGTCTCTACGAAAAAATACAAAATTAGCTGGGCGTGGTGGGGCATGTAATCCCAGCTACTCGGGAGGCTGAGGCAGAAGAATTGCTTGAACATGAGAGGCAGAGATTGCGGCATTGCACTCCAGCGTGGGCAACAAGAGTGAAACTCCATCTCAAAAAAAAAAAAAAAAGATTAAATTTCAGTGTGAATTCTTGACACAAACATTCATGGACTATCAGTTAAAACATGACCTTGTTTTAAGAAAGGGCAGGGAGGAAGGAAAATGATTTTCTAAAGATGTCTTTAAAAGGATTATCACGAATGGATTTTTAAAATATGGTATATATATATACATAATGGAGTACTATTCAGCTCTAAAAACAGGAAATTCTGTCATCTGCAACAATGTGGACGAATCTAGAGAACATTGCATTAAGTGAAATGAGCCAGGCATAGAAAGGTAAATGCCGGCTGGATACAGTGGTTCATGACTGTAATCCCAGCACTCTGGGAGGCCGAGGTGGATGGATCACCTGAGGTCAAGAGCTCGAGACCAGCCTGTCCAACATGATTAAACCCTACTTCTACTAAAAATACCAAAAATTAACTGGACATGGTGGCAAGTGCCTGTAATCTCACCTACTTGGGAGGTTGGAGCAGGAGATTTGCTTGAGTCTGGGAGGCAGAGGTCGCAGTGAGCCGAGATCACGCCACTGCATTACAGCCTGGGCAACAAGAGCAAAACTTCATCAAAAGAAAGAAAGAAGAGGAAAGGAAGAAAGGAAGAGAAAGAAAAAGAGAGAGAAAGAAAGAAAGAAAGGAAGGAAGGAAGTAAATGCCATATGATTTTACTTGTATGTGGAATCTAAAAAAGTCAAATTCATAGATGTAAGAGTAGAATGGTGGTTGCCAGAGGCTGGGGACAGGGAGGTGAAGTTGGGGCATAATGTGATAAGGGGTGGACAGGGAGAGATGAGACCTCAGTCAATGGGTACAAAGTTACAGTTAGGAGGAATAAGTTCTGGTGTTCTATTGCACAACAAGGTGACTACAATTAATAATGTATATTTCAAAATATCTGAAAGAGAAGATTTTAAATGTTCTCACTAAGAAAACATGATAAATATTTGAGATGATGGATATAATAACCAGATTTAATCATTTCCAAGGTATACATGTATTGAAACATCACACTGTGCCCCATAAACATATACAAGTATTTGCTATTAAAAATAAAATAAAAATTTAAAAAATAAAAAGGATTATGATAACCAAAGGTTGATGTTCCTTTTTTTTTTTTAATTTCTTCATTATTTATTCTTTAGTTAATTGAAACATAGGAAAAAATGGTGCCAATTCCCCCCAAACAACACTTGGATGTTTTTGCTTTTTGGCCCACTTAGAATCCCAAAAGGACAAAAAAAAATACGTGGACCAATATTAGTACAGGAAACATGTTTCAAAGAACAGAGAATGAGCTCTTCATCCCACCTCAGTAAAGCTTGGGCTGATGAAGACAGGGTGTATTCAAGGTCCTCTCTTGTCATACGTACAAGCTGACGCTTGTTTCCCAAGCGTTATCATAGTGGGTAGACTGCCTTTATTATTAGTCCCTAATAGAATAAAATCAGTCATCACAATGAAGAAATTCTGAAGAGGGCAGTGAAGTGACAACAACTTCAGCTCGTCATCGATGTTATACAGAAACACAAAAGGAATCCCCGGCCTATGATGAATGAGAGGCCTTTACTGTGTGTTCAGGTCACCTCAGAGCAGGCACATGAAGTGCTGGGAGGTAACATAGCCCGTCTGGACGTCCTCGGGAGGGTGTGCCATGCAGGAGGTGATGCCCCCGTCCAGCACACACACAGGCACTTCCACCTGCTGCTGGTCCTGCTAAAGGTGTGAGGCTAAAACCGGCCTCTCCAGAAAAGAATGCTCAGTGTGTGCTGACCACGCTTCCCTTTTAATTTCCCGAGTATTCAACAGGAGGTACATTTTAACAAGAAAAAATATGCCTAACAAACAGGACAGATGACTCCCTTAACAAGAGAGCAACTACGAACATGATACAAATTTAAATAAAAATGTTAAGTTCAACATGTTCATCATGGAGTTTCAAATCAGCAGTTGCTGTGGCAGGAAAAGAGCACATAGCTGGGCCCTTGCCTACCATGGCTGTCCCATGCCCGCCGTGGCTGTCCCGTGTCCACAGCTTCTTCAAGGCAGGGAGGGCAGCTTCTCTCTTGGAGCTTTCTCAGTTTCTCAACAGATCTTCACTTGCTAGGCAGCCAGAAGCATGAGTTCACCCAAGAGTGAGTGCTTGGGTACACAAGGCAGAATCTTTTGGGAGCTGAGAGCTGGAGAGGAAGTAAGAAGGAACAAAGGTACTTCTCCAGGGTCAGCCGTTTCTTAGGGCAAAGGCAGAGCCCATGAGGTAACCCTGGGAAAATGGGCTCACAAGTGAGCCCCATGGATAGAGAATGTGTCTCTGCAGTAAGGGCAAGGCCGCCCCCCATGAGGCTCTGCACACTAGCCGCTCACCCAGGCAAGAGAGGGCTTCCTCTCCAGCCATGCCGAAGCCACGTTTCCAGTGCAAACATGAGTCTAAAGGTCGGAGTGTGGGGGTGGTGGGGGAATCCCTAACCTGAGTCTGACTGCACAAGGAAGAATCCCTTTTTTTTTTTCAATGTACACCTTTGTCTTGGATTACTAAGTGCCTGGAGAGGTGGACTCTTGCATGTCTCTATTTTTGGGATTTTTAAAGGTTTTCCATGAACATTCATAGAGCCTGGTCAGCAGTGAGGAGTCCTTGTGTGTGGACGGAAGGCTCCCTGGCACCCAGATGTCTACCTTCGTCCTGAATGACACAGAGCATGATGATCATCTGCTCTTCACGTCCAGCAGGCTCGGAAAGAGCTCGGAGTTCCCCTCGTGCCCACGGGCCAAGCTTTTCAAGCCCGAGTGCCAGGGCTGGATGAGCTGGGGTTCGTGCCTCTGCTGGCAGCACAGTGGGTGTGCAGAAGACCACCATTTGGGTATCTAACAAACACAGGCTCACAAGAGGGATTTTGGCATATCTGACAAAGCTTTTTGTCTGAGAGCCGAATTGAGCTTCCATTCAACTTCATCTTTTTTTTTTTTTTTTTTTTTTTTTTGAGATGGAGTTTCGCCCTTGTTACCCAGGCTGGAGTGCAATGGCACGATCTCGGCTCACCGCAACCCCCGCCTCCTGGGTTCAGGCAATTCTCTTGCCTCAGCCTCCTGAGTAGCTGGGATTACAGGCACGCGCCACCACGCCCAGCTAGTTTTTTGTATTTTTAGTAGAGACAGGGTTTCACCATGTTGACCAGGATGGTCTTGATCTCTCGACCTCGTGATCCACCCGCCTCGGCCTCCCAAAGTGCTGGGATTACAGGCTTAAGCCACCGCGCCCGGCCTCAACTTCATCTTATCATAGGTGTAAATTAAGTTTTCTGACTTGGCCAGGCCAAGAGCCACCTGCATGTTCCTCCTGGCGTGGACGCAGCCCCGCACGACCCCTGTCAGGAATGGGCAGAGGAGCTGCACTGACCAGGTGCCGGGCAGCATCGGCAGCACCTGGGCTGCGTCGAATTCGGTGGCGTGTTGGTTCAGCAGGTCCATGGCGGCCACTGCCAGCTCGTTGGCGGCGGGGCCGGCCCGCAAGTAGATGGCCAGCAGCGTTTGGAAGAGGCGCTGGCAGTGGGGCGGGTCCCGGCCCTCGGAGCACCACAGGCAGTAGTCCTCGGCCGCTGCAAAGTCCCGCAGCTCGTGCACCAGGATATGCAGCGCCTTCTCTTGCTCACCCAGCTTCCCGTGCAGGATGGCGCTCTCCATGGGCAGGGCAGCTCCCTGCAGCCTCTCGATGAGAAAGTGGACTCGGTATAAATCGGACTTCTGGAGCAGACGCCGCAGCTTGGCCTGCGTCTCAGTGGCCTCTGCACCCTTGCCGCTCGCGGAGGCCCTCTGCTGCAGCCCCTCTTCCAGGTAGAGCACAGCTAAGTTGGTGTGATACTCTTCTTTCTGCAGTCTCTTGTCTATCACGAGATGTTCCAGATACTTCACAAGGGCTTTAGGGTATTTTTAAAGGCAATTGATAACGTCGTCTGGATTAAAACTATTCTTCTGTTGTTCATCCAAAGGTCTCTGGGTGAAAACCTGAACTCAGACCTCTTCACTTTTCTGCAGGACCCAATCAGCATAGGCCCACACTAGCTCCTTGTCTAAGCAGTAGATAAGAAAATCCACGATGTATTCATGCGGGTCTGAGCGTGTGGAGTCCTGGACATCGCCATTCACAATGTTCACCCACAACTGAACCGCAGCAGCGTCTTGGTTATTATAATGATAGAGCAGTCCAAGTGCAAAATACTTTTTGTGCTTCTCTAGCCAGGCGGCACTGTCCGTCAGAAGGCAAAAGTTCTCGGTGACCAGGAGGTCCAGCAGGCTGTCGTGGTCGGCCGCCGCGTACAGTTTGAGCAACGCTGTGTCGATGTCCTCCTTGCAGCCGTTTGCTACCTCTGTGCTGCGGACCTCGTTCAGGTAGCTCATGAGGAAGCGTTTGCACTTGGCCATCTTCTCCTGGTCCCCCTGGGTCAGCTGGTTCAGGTCTGCGTACTCATGAAGAGGAGGGTGGGACCGGGTGAAGGAGGAGGAGGTGGGCAACAGGAAGGCAGAGAGAGAGATCAGCTCCCGGACATCAAGCTGGCCGCTTCTGAAGAGCTCTTTAGCTTCCAGGAACCGAAGTTGTGCAAACTGTATAAATCCCGCCTGCTGCAGAATCCTTCTGTACATTACCTGAAATTTTTCCTTTGGAATGTTCCTCCGGGCTCCTTTTGCTAAAACCAAAGCCTCTTCTACTCTGCGGCTTGCTAGAAGATCCTGTGTTTGTTTTTCCAAAGGTAATGGAACCAAGATGTAAACTCCTTTACTTGTGCCAACAATCACTCTTCCTTCAAAGTCCTGTAGGATGTGGCCCTCCTTAAAGGGCAGGGTCTGCTTCTGCTGCTGATCCAACGTGCTGTAGACCGTGATGAATTCATTATCCAGCGCTATGACGTATGGAAAGGACACGGCCACCCCAATCACGTTCTCTGACCAGAGCACGGGAGCCCGCTGGGATATCCCTGCGACTGTGGCAAAATGCCCAGCCCTCCGGGGCCCGCCAGCAGGAACTCCTGTCTCCCTATCCTCTTGACAATTGGTGGCCTCTCCTCGCTGCAGTAGAGAAACAGGTCCTGGGAGACACCTGTGCTGTAGTTGCGGATGATGTACCGAGTGGTCAGAGCCAGACACAGGAAGCGGCCATCCACAGCTACGGCGAGGGGCTGCTCAGAGGTCGACACCTCCTTGACGATCTGCACCCGGTCCTCGTACACCAGAAACATCTGGATGGTTCTGCGTTTGACAGAGATCATACAAACTTCCACACAGAACGGGTCCCCAGTCACAGGGTTCTCACTGAGTGCAAACGTGACCGCCCCCTTGATGCGGGCTCCCGAGGGCACTGGCTCGAGGTTCAGCATGTGGACCAGGCTGATGGAGTTGTCACACAGCACCAGCAGCCTGTTGAGTGCTGAGGCCGCGCGCAGCTCGCTCACAGGCTTTTTGAAGCCCAGGTGCCTGTGCAGCTGTTTCGTGGCAGTGGACGTGGCCGGCCCGGCAGGCACTGGCCTCTCCTCCAACAGGAAGCGGTAGACGAAGCAGTCGTTGGTGCCCAAACAGAGGTCCCTGCCGCAGCACTCCACACACTCAATGTTGACACGCTCCTTGTCACCCATCAGCAGCTCCCACTCCACGGCAGAGACAAGCGTAAAGGCTTTGATGTTCATCATGTCTGCTGGCTGATCCGCGCCGGCGCCCGCCGCCCCGCGGCCTGGGGCCCCGCCGCCCTGCTCCGCCCGCGGCTCCTGGGCTGGCCTGCGATGTTCCTTTGAGATATACAATATACAAATATTATTTTATCTAGGTTAAATCCATTGGCAATACATTTTAAAAAACTCATGCACCAGCTGTCTTCAGAGTAGTATAGCGCGGCATGATTTTAGCATTTCATTCTATGACGCTGTTGCAGATTGCACTCAAAGGGTAAATATACAAATTGTATGCAACTGATCTCATCTAAGAGTTTATACAAGAAGCTTCCGTTCACGTTTTTTCCATTTGTTTTGCTTGAGCACTTCCAAACCAAGTAGTCTGATTATACTGTCACCTTTACATCAATATATAAGTAAATAGGGAGGAAAATAATCACTGGAAGGAAAATTAAGGTTCGGGTCATACATCAACTCTGCTTAGTTGGCGCCCAAACCTGTAATTCACACTGCTGCTGAAAAGCCTCCAGTGATTGCTTATCCATTATAGATCAATTGCAGAAAAAAGCTGCAACTTTATTAGAAGCATAATTTAGGAACCCTATAAGCATTCAGAATTTAAGCCCCACTGACTGAATTAAGTTCAACCATATGGAATATTTATATACACATTGATTGAAATCCCTTCTGAAGCCTTCTCAAGAAAACTGTATGCCGAAGGATCAAAAGGCAATTTAACCAACCTGACCCAGACTGCCACCATCCGATCCTAAGGAATATCACCTTAGCCTTTGTCACTTGGTTAATATAAAACATCCAAACAAAATTACCCACAGCTCATTTTAAAAAGAAACTTGTTTATCCAATATTAGTTTGTTTAAACTTGAAGATTTACTATTCCTCAAGTGTTTGCATGGCTTTCTCTATGTAGCTGCTCAGAACTGCTACTGCAGTCACAACTTCCTGTTAGCTGGTAAGCTCTCTGCAGAAAATAGATGTCTTTGTTCATCCCAGGCATTGTCCTTAACTCCAGGCAGTCATCTTACCAAGGTGTGGGGAAGGAGATTGTAGATGACTCTGAGAAATCCATCAAAACAAAGGCAAGAACTATCAAACCACAATTCAATGGAAAAACATAGGTAATGTTTCTACACAGGAAGAAAAGCTGCTCTCGTTTTGCTGGCTCTGAGTAGATATTACAGTGTAAATCAAGCTGTAGGAGGTTGTAAGGAATCTTAGAGAGCACCTACTCTCTTAAGTACGACCCCAAACTCACACTTAAAGACCTGGATCTTGCCTCCCATCATTCAAATGTAACTTTTTCTTACTAGAGAGCAGAAAAAACCAAGTATCTCATTATGAATATGTATTGAGTTTCTATAGAACTTAAATGGACTAAACAAAATTGCTTAATGACCTTGCTCCCAAGGCTAGTTAGGAAGGAACTCAGAACAAAACCTAAGACCTTTAACTTCAAAATGAATGTATATTTTGAAATACACATTATATTTTGCCTTCTCATTTTTTGCTTGGTTCATTCTGTTTCTTGAAGGAAGGCGTTTTCCACAGAAGGCAAGAAAGGTCCAAGCATTCAGAGCTTGTACACAGCTATTTCTTGGGAACTTCAAGGTCACATTGCCTGTGGAGCTGCTCCAGGTTGGGGGCTTTGATTCTTCCTGGCAGAAATAGCTCACTTGGCCATGAGTTCCTGCCCCTCCCCATCTCCTCTGGGGCCTTACCACCTTCTCTTAATATCTTTTTCTCTGGACACTATCTTCAGCTTTAGAAAAGTTTAGCTAATCCCTTCTGAGCTTCATCTTAAGAGTTTTACAAATTAATATTCTCAATCCATATTCATGAATTCTGACTGTTACAAATAACTGCATATTTTATCATTTTTACACACAATACTATATAGTCATAGTCATTCTCGAACCAGACAGTGGTCATTATAAACTATCAAAAAGTGTTTGAGAAGTAGTCAACGTTGTAGTTGAGTGAGAGCTTAATATTTTACAACCCTAATAATAAGAAATTACATATTATATCTAACTCTGTGAGTGAAATTAAACCTCCCTTTCTCTTTTAATAAAATTAAAATGTTTCACTATCATTTCAATAAAATCCTTTCAATGTATGAATGTTTTCTTATGATAATCCTGAGACATGGTGGTTTTCTCAGTTAAATTGGTCCCATTAATTTACCTTTTCCTCACTGGTCTTTTTTAGACCTAGGGGCAAACTGCTTTAGACAGGAATATGTCTATTTTAATAGAGTCTGACCAATAGGCAGTAAAGGACTATGCTATGTACATGCACATATGTAGCAATACTTCATCAGAGAAGGAGGATACTGGCTAATGATTACTGTGAGCTTACTACATGCCAGGTATTATTCTAAGAGCTATAAATGGAATCAGGTTCATTCCATACAAAGTATTATTATTAAACTCATTTCACAGACCAGGAAATTGAGTAATCTGTGCAGGTCACAAAGCTTGATAGTCACTAGTAATGAAAAGAGAAAGAAAGACAGAAATGCATCTTTCTTTCTTTAATCATTTATTTAACAACTAACCAATTTCCTCAACGAAGACTCATGTTCTCCACAAATATTGTCTGAAAAGTAAATAATAATAAAACAAAAAATAAGAGCTGAATTGCTCTTACTCTTCCAGATCCATGAAGTCCACAGTTTTTGGTACAATGTCTAGTTCGTTTGTTAGCTCGCAATACATTCCCCTGCCCTTAGAAATACTTAAATTGATAGTACCCCAGAATAAATCCTACTAGATCTGGTTCAAGTATTGTTATCTTTATAATTAAGCTAGTCTGTAGTTACCAGAGGTGGTTTCGTTTGCAGATACTGTTAATATATTAGTCTTTACTTATAAATCTCTCTGCTGCAGAGAAAACAATGTAGAAGCTGCAAAGAGAGTAAGTAGGAAAAAACTAAACTCAGGCATCTTTTTAGATAAATGCTATTGTCTATTAAGACTTACCAAACACCACATTAGTCCCTTTGGAAATGGATTGTGCAAATATGGAAAATAAGTTTTAATTTCTCTATGGAGATGCAATGAAAACACAAGTAATCTGTGGTCTTGAACAATTAGAACTTGAAAGTTAGTCCCACTTCTAAGTATAAAGAATAAAATAAAAATGACCCATAATCCCACCATTCAAAAATCACTACTCAGTATTTCAGCACATTTCCTTCCAGTCTTTTTTTCTATTTTGAAAATCATAATAGGCCAGGCATGGTGGCTCACGCCTGTGATCCCAGCACTTTGGGAGGCTAAGGTACACAGATCACTTGAGGTCAGGAGTTTGAGATCATCCTGGCTAACATGGTGAAACCCCTTCTCTACTAAAAATAGAAAAATTAGCCAGATATGGTGGTAGCAGGTGCCTGTAATCCAAGCTACTTGAGAGGCTGACTCAGGAGAATCAATTGAACTGGAGAGGTGGAGGTTGCAGTGAGCCAAGATTGTGCCGCTGCACTCCAGCCTGGGTGACAGAGTGAGACCCTGTCTCAAAAATAAATCTCTTAATTTAATTTAATTTTAAAACATAGTAGGCTGGGCGTGGTGGCTCAAAGCCTGTAATCCCAGCACTTTGGGAGGCCGAGGCAGGTGGATCATGAGGTGAAGAGATCAAGACCATCCTGGTCAACATGGTGAAACCCAGTCTCTACTAAAAATACAAAAAATTAGCTGGGCATGGTAGCGCGTGCCTGTAATCCCAGCTACTCAGGAGGCTGAGGCAGGAGAGTTGCCTGAACCCAGGAGGCGGAGGTTGTTGTGAGCTGAGATCGCGCCATTGCACTCCAGCCTGGGTAACAAGAGCAAAACTCTGTCTCAAAAAAAAAAAAAAAAAAAAAAAAAAAAAAAACATAGTAAAGAGGCTATCTTTAAAACTCAAGGTTTACTTAGACCATTTATTAAAAAAGTTTGTCCCCTCATCCCCAGGAAAAATTTTTCTATTATCCTCCTGACCTGCAATACATTCATCGCCTTCAAAGGCAACTCAGCAACAGAAAAATCAATTGACACTTTAGCCACTCAGCTGCTTTCCTTCATATTTGAAGGATAAATTATTTAATTAAAATTAAAGATTAACAAAGCCTTGGTCACTGGCATGCATCCTCTTAATTCCAAAGATGGCTTAGCTAATCTCAGCTGTTAGTTTTTTACAAAGGTATTTGCAATCGAAGGGTCAACTTTAGACTTCTCTACACCTCTGCTCTACATCCATCTCTCTCTCTCTCTCTCTCTCTCTCTCTCTCTCTCTGTTAATAACCTTCCTGGTGTTACATATTTGTTTAATAATCAATAGTGGCTTCTTTTCCTATCACTGAGTATTTCAGAAAGTAGCACAACCAAATCAATGTTTAACTGGATTCTTTGGGTCTGAAGTGGCAAAGTTGAAGGAAGTCTCCATGGAAACCAGCCTCCCAGGAAGTGGCCAGAAGGGTTAGTGTGCAGTGAAACAGAGCTAGAACGATGCCTGCTAGAAGGAAATGACTGCTTTCTAAAGCCAGGGGAAACTTCTGAAATGCCTCGATTAAAACAAGCTATATTAAAGACCCCAAAACCACTTCGCTAGCAGCTTTGCTCTGAATGTCTTTCACATGAAATGGGCCTGAGTCACTCTAAGGCTCGCCCTAGGGTGATTAAAGTAGCACCTTTGCAAAACAAAGAGGTAGAGACTCCCTCAGCTGGCCCTGTGGACTTCGCATGCAATCAGAATTTGGAAGAAAAGACTTCATATTCACTGGCAAGACTGCAGGACCGGAATAAAGCTTTGGAAGGGCAGCTGCCACCTTTACAAGAAACCTGGTATGGAAGATATTCTGCAGGTAAACATAAACCCCAGCATGAGATGTGTGTATCTGGACCAAGGAGCATTATTAATAGATTTATCTGACTGTCTCCATGATCTCAGCAAGTTCTGAAATTACTGAAATGTAAAGGAATGTAGGCTATCTTTGAAAACTCAAACAGATCTTTCAATGAAGATTGAATGTCAATTGAAAGTATTCTAAGTACATTAGAATGGGAGTATAAACTGTACAAAGGACTTTTCACTATTCTATATGAGAAGGAAAAATCATTTTGTTTCAGCTCAGTTTGTAATGCTTTCAATGTTTACACCTAGCTTTGCCAGATCATTAAAATTATATAGATACTAATGTGATAAACAATAGCAATCACGTTTCAGTTAGATTCTAAATTTAAATCATTCTCTCCAGTACAGTTTAATGCACAAGGCTTTGTAGTTTTGAAAGCAGCACTTTAGGAGTGAAGTCATTCTAACATGAATTTTGAAACCATCCTAAACAGAATTGATTTACTGTAGTACAGAGGAGTGGATGAGTCACCCTTTCCCAACCCGGCATTCTTCATGGTCATCTGCAGAACTAACAGAATTCTTTCCCATTATGATTGGAAGCTCTGAGCCTGAAGTGGCTATAAATTATCCTGGGATATTTTATAAACCATGTCAAATGTTTTATGATGACCACAATGATAATTAAACAGACATTCTCACTCAGAAAGAGAAATAGATGTTTCTAATATATACATAGGTGTATGTGTATATAGTTTTCCATTTTCTTCACCTTCTGGATCATTAACACAAAGAAGTTTCCCTTATTGGATGCCTTGTTTCAGAAAGCCTCACTTTTTCTTTTGGTACCTAGTAAATCTTGCCTGGAATGATTTTTTTATGGCTACTGTCTGGAGAATTGATAACTTTTGATTGGTTCCACATGACCTATTTTTATATTCTTTATACTTTCCAAGTTCTTAAGCACATGGATGGGGATTTTCCTCTTAAGATTTTTTTTTAATGATAGATAGACGGATAGGTGATTAGACATGATTTTAAAAATGGAGCATGAATGTGTAATAAGAGTATGCAATGCTCCTATTGAAGAATTCCTTTTTTATCCAAACCCCCTTCCAGAGTTGTAAGATTTTGGTGACAGAGACTCTATCTCAAAAAAAAAAAAAAAAAAAAAAAAAAAAGATTTTGGTAACTGAATAAATGGTGAAAGCTGATTCATGTGCTTTAGAGTCCCAACTGGAAAATGTGCTTATGTTTGAAATGGCAAAATCACATTAAATATAAATAACAAGGAGATCATGAGGATTCTGATAAGTATTTTCAGTATTCTTACCCCAGCTCCATCAAATACCAAATCGTATGACCTTGGGCAAGTTACTTCATCAGTTTTTTTCACTTGTAATCCAGGGTAAAAATAAATGCCTGACATAGCCTATGCCATTTAAGGAGACTCTAATTAAATAACGAAATAATATCACTAAAATCATTAAAAAAAAAAATAAGTAGTAGGAAGGCTTCTGAAAAAAAATAGCTGAAAATACTTACATTTTTAAATCCAATACGTTTGTTGTTGTTTCTGTCCTGCTCAGTACGCTGGCATCTTTTCTAAAGAAAATAAGGACATCGTTTCCATCCCACTAAAAGTTAGAGAGAACAAAGTTCCTAAAATGGTCATTCACATGTCTTAGGGATAGAGATGCATAATTACCCACGGATTTTTCCATTTAAAATGCAAAGTGGGGCTGTAAAATAGTCTACGAAATAATCTAGAAATCAGACTGTGCCCAGATTGTTAAAAGGGAAGGACAAGAATTTCATTCATGCAGCATTGGTCATGGTAGCACTCCCAAGAGCTCAGGATAATCACGCTGGAAAATAAAATCCATAATGGATCTGTTGAGCCTCTCTGTTTCCTCATAGAGGCTTAACTCTGTATCTCCGGCTTCTTTCATCAGGAAAGAATATTGCCATGTTGTATGATATTAGCAACCTGTGGAAATTTCTTTCCCAGTTAAAGGGACTATTTAATTGTGATTACACACACTCCATTTCTTTCTCATCTCTGTGTAATCACCTATCTATCATCTATTTTATCTGAGAAGATTATTTTCATTTGTTAAAGTTACATGTTTTTTCTGATGTCTTATATTTTGGGGAGGGGATTTTATGGAATTAAAACAAGTCAGTAAATGTCTGTTTTCCAGGCCAAATTCTGTTTGAAAAATATTTGCAGTCAACATATTGGTAATTTTGTAACTCTTTCCCTACATATGAACCTGAGTAGGAAGTTAAGAGGGCAGAAATTAAATCCTGGATCTGGACTAAAATAGTGTCATTTGCACTAATGTGGGTTCCCTGCTTTCTGTGTTTCATCTCCACATTCAACCCACATGCTAGACATATATAGGTACAAAATTGTGTTGACAAACACCAGTAACTAATGATTGCCTGCTGTAATCATAAATTATATTTAATGGTTTATTCTTGGTTTTCTCCAATCCTTCAAGCATCCAGAGACGTGTATTTTGACATCCCATTGGAACACAGAGAAACAAGTATTATTAAAAGGCATCCACCCCAAAGACTGCAAGTAAGATGAATTTAAAAGGCTTCATAAGGAATTTCTTGGATATCATGGTAACATCCCTTTTTAAACAATAATCATCAAAGAGAGATAATGATAATGACCAAGCTATTAATGAGAATGTTCTTAAAGAAAATGTCATCAATTGCAAAGATGATGCTACTTTAAGATTTCCTTTAGTAATGATTTCGCTTTTTAGGACTGGCAACTGAAAGAAGCAAGTTTAGTAGCAAGGACATAGATGTGATGGAACCCAAGGAGCTTGACTCTAGCACTGATTAGTTGGTTGACTATGGGAAAATAACTTGTAATAAATGATAACAGCTACTAATATTTAATTACCCCACTACAAGTCAGACACTATACTAGGCAATCTAATCTATGTCATTCCTTTAATCTTCTTAGCCACCTATGAAAAAGGAAGAATTCTCTTTGTTTTATACATGCTAGTCAGAGAGTTCAGTCACTAGCCCAAAGACTCACAGAGGCCAGATATCAACCAGATCTCCAAAGTTTGTATTCTTAACTATCAGCATAAGTAATTTCTATAGCCCGTCTATCTTTAACCTTTTATTGTTCTAGATGTTAACTGGTTGTTTAAATTGGGGACACTGGATCCCAAGGAAGCAAAGCAAGAGCTTTAAATGCATTCACCTTAATAAATATTTAATAGGTTCTCTCTAAATAGCTATATATTTTAAGAGTTCTCAACCTAAAAAGGGAAATGGATAGATTAAAGTGGTCCTTGAAAATGAGCATCACTGAAAGAAAGATTTGGGGCTTTCTTGTGAGCAGGATCTATCACTGACATTCAAAGCCAAATCCCACCTGCTACACAATTCACCCAGATGCCTGGACCAATCCCAGGTGTGTTGGAGTTCATTTGTTCGGGATTAGTTCTGTCTCCATTGGTTTTTATTTTCCTGTCTTCTACAGAAGCTCACAACCATTATTTGAAGTGATTATGTCATTTTGTCCCAAAAGAGTATCTTTTCCCCAAATATTAGCAGCTACAAAATTATTCTTTAGATAAAGAAAAATAAAATGAAATATAACAAATTAATATCTAATTTACAAGCTTTTACAAATCCTCTAGGTAAACAGGACAGTTTTAAAATGTGTTTTATTCCTAAATCAAATACTTCCTTTCAAAGCAGTGTGTTTAACAGTTTCTGTGAAGCCTCTAAGCTGATTAGTTCAAATAGAAGATACTACTCTAGTGAAAAATATTTGTCTAGTACCTTAAGTTCACAAAGTACTTTTTATGTCTATCAATTCTAAACAAAGAAGGTTAGGTTTGGATTCTCTTAATAGTCAAACAAGGTCAAAAAGAGAGCTTTGGTATTTCAGAGTCAAACACTGCACCGCCCCCCCGATATGCATACACCCTAACTAACCATCTTAAAAACAAAGAATCAAGACATGAATTATTTCAATGCAAAAACTATGTCGTTTTTTCTCTTCAACTTTGAAGTTCAGGGGTACATGTGCAGGATGTGAAGGTTGGTTACATGGGTAAGCATGTGCTATGGTGGTTTGCTGCACAGATCAACCTATCACCTCAGTATTAAGCAGCATCCATTAGGTGTTTTTCCTGATGCTCTCCCTCCCCACCAACACTGACAGACCCCGGTGAATGTTGTTCCCCTCCCTGTCCATGTGTTCTCATTGTTCAGCTCCCACTTATAAGTGCGAACATTTAGTGTTTAGTTTTCTGTTCCTGAGTTAGTTTTGCTGAGGATAATGGCTTCTAACTCCATCCATGCAAAGGACATGAACTTGTTCCTTTTTATGGCTGCATAGAATTCCGTGGTGTGTAGGTACTACATTTTCTTTATCCAGTCTATCATTGATGGGCATTTACATTGATTCCATGTCTTTGCTGTTGTAAATAGTGCTGAAATTAACATACGCATGCATGTGTCTTTATAATAGTATTATTTATATTCCTTTTGGTATATAACCAATAACAAGATTGCTGGGTCAAATGGTATGTCTGCCTTTGAGAAATCACCATACTGTCTTCCACAATGATTGAACTAATTTACATTCCCACCAAAAGTGCAAAAGCATTCCTTTTTCTCCACAACCTCACCAGCATATGTTGTTTTTGACTTTTTAATAATAACCATTCTGATTGGTATGAGATTGAGATTGTATCTCATTGTGGTTTTAATTTGCATTTCTCTAATGAACAGTGGTGTTGAGCTTTTTTTCATGTTTGTTGACTGCATATATGTCTTCTTTTGAAGAGTGCTTGTTCATGTCCTTTGCCCACTTTTTAATGGTTTTTTTCCCATAAATTTAAGTTCCTTGCAGACTCTGGATATTAGACCTTCGTCAGATGGACGGATTGCAAAAATGTTCTTCCATTCTTAGGTTGCAAAGATTATGCCTTATTCAGTCTTATGTCTTCAGTCATTAATACTTAATATGAGCTTCACAAAAGATTGTGAGTGAAATGAATGAGTGAGTGAATGACAATGAGACCCATCATCCTTGCTGGAAGAGGGAAAAAAAAACACTCAATGTGCACTTCCTGCCACTGCAGACCTATAATCACTGTATTAGAAGTCTGTAGCATCACTGTAACATCTCCGTATTAGAAGTCTCATTGACTAGCAAAAATAACTAACATGATTAATTAGAAGGATAGAGAAGTGTTTTATTCAACCAAAGTTGTGGGAGACACTTAAACTTCAGGGAAGAACTGTGATTTGGAACCTGAAATGCAGAACTCTCTAAATGTCTGCCCTAAGCTCTTCTCTGTGCATTTGCTACATTTTTCTCTCCAGTGATCAGTTTTCTCTATTTCTCAGGCACAGGCACACAATGAAATACGGCCACCCTGAGCTTCTATCTTTTAGTTCCACTCAAATGGATAGATTGGCCTTTTTGACTCCAATTCCAGATTCCTAGAAGAAAGAATATTGGCTCAGCTTTGCTCATGATTCCAGCTCTGGTCCAATGAGCGACGTCCAGAGGATGTGCTCATGCAGTAGATACGTGGGTAGAGGAGTCACCCCTGTAGACTCTGGAGTCAGCTCCCAAAGAGGAGGGAAATCGCCAGAAACTTGGCAGACACTCCCAAAGATATCAGCTATAATTATCTTCACAAATGAAGCTCAGCACATTTTCCAGCGCAAATGAGTTTTTGAGAGAATAATACATGCTGGGCCCTCATGACATGCTAATTCATAGCCTAATTTCTGCCAAAGAAAGTTCTCAAAGTATTTTTAATTATTAAACCAAATCTAATTGTATGCTGAATTATTTGAGTTATATTTTTGGTACCTTCTACTTCCTAAACATCTACTTCTCAAATAAAGAGAAAGTCATGAACTAGCATTATCCAACCTGGAGCTGACAGGCTCTGAGAGTGCCCACCAGGGAACTCCAAATCAAATGTAGCTTTTTATTGAAGAGTTGATTCGTACTGTCCCCTCTCGCCTGATCACCTTCTTATCCAACCATTTCAAGTCTAGCTTAAGTTGGAGGTGTTTTCCCCACACATGTCATGTATCCTCAAATGATCTCCTTGAATAACTCCCTCATCTCAAAATATTTGTTCAAATCTCACTGTCCCTAGAAGACCCACGCTGGCCAATCAAATGACATTGAAACTTTCAAGTCGGCACTCTTGATTTCCTTGGCCCTTCACCAGATCCCCAAATCTCCTAGAAGACCCTTCAACTGATTATGCTGACCATTTGTTTTGTTTGAGAAGTCAAATAATCCAAAAGTCTTAAGACAAATGATAACTTATATTATAAAATAAAAATAAGATGTCATTCTAACTGATTCTCCAATAGTTCCTTTCACTGTGTTCTCTCTGAAGATGATGAAGTGAGACATCTCACTTCCTGGACAGGGAAAAGAAACATGCATATAAACCCAGAATTCTGAGGCAATTTCATCAGACTGGCATATTTAGCTGAAGCCAATTTCGCCAACAATATTTTCTGCAGTGCTCAAATCAAGTGGCAAATGATTTAACGAAGAGATCCCAGTTGCAATGTTAGTTGCTGCCATCTAGTGGCTTCTGTGAAGGAAATAGTGTGATTCCTTAAGGCTCTTTTCAAAGGCTAGGAAGAAACAGCCTGGAGACAGTTCTTGAAGATATACACCACTTAACCCTTGTTAGAATTAGAACTCAGGATTACGAAACTCACCCAAAACCACACAACTAATGGAAACTGAACACCGGCTCCTAAATGACTACTGGGTAAACTACGAAATTCAGGCAGAAATAAATAAATTCTTTGAAAAAAGTGAGAATGAAGACACAACATACCAGAATCTTTGGGATACAGCTAAAGCAGTGTTTAGAGGGAAATTTATAGCACTAAATGTCCACAAGAGAAAGCATAAAAGATCTAAAATCAACACCCTAATATCACAATTAAGAAAACTAGAGCCAGGCACAGTGGCTCAAGCCTGTAATCCCAGCACTTGGGGAGGCCAAGGCGGGTGGATCACGAGGTCAAGAGATCGAGACCATCCTGGTCAACATGGTGAAACCCCATCTCTACTAAAAATACAAAAAAATAGCTGGGCATGGTGGCGTGTGCCTGTAATCCCAGCTACTTGGGAGGCTGAGGCAGGAGAATTGCCTGAACCCAGGAGGCAGAGGTTGTGGTGAGCCAAGATCACGCCATTGCATTCCAGCCTGGGTAACAAAAGCAAAGCTCCATCTCAAAAAAAAGAAAGAAAGAAAGAAAGAAAAGAAAACTAGAGAGGCAAGAGCAAACAAATTCAAAAGCTAGCAGAAGACAAGAAACAACTAAGATCAGAACAGAACTGAAGGAGATAGAGACACCAAAAAACTCTTCAAAAAATCAGTGAATCCAGGAGCTTATTTTTTGAAAAGATTAACAAAATAGATGACCACTATCCAGACTAATAAAGAGGAAAAGACAGAAGAATCAAATAGATGCAATAAAAATGATAAAGGGGATATCACCCCTGATCCCACAGAAATACAAACTACCATCAGAGAATACGAT